TGGTACTGGGGATTGAACTCAGGTCCTTGCGTTTGCAAGGCAGGCCACTGAACTGCTGAGCTAAATCCCCGGCCCCAGAATATTATCTAAAATAGAAAAAACTCTATCTGCATATAACACTGTTATAACAGTAAGAAGTTGAACAGAAAATTATATACCCAACAATAAGAAATATTTAGGTCAATAACAGCACATTCAATGAAATGTTATATAGTTAATCTAATAAAATGGAAAAATGCTAAAGACAATTTTTTTTAAAAGTTTGGAAAAATTCAAAGAAAACGGAAGCACAAAGATTAGGTTAGACATGATATGTAGATATGTATAAATTGTTGTTGCTTTCCTTTTTCTAAATTCTCTGGTGGGCATACTTTTACACTAAAGTGAGTGTGTATGTATATATTTATATGTACTATTTATTTATAGTAATACAATAAAATTCATGCTTAAATGGGAGCTGGGAGCATCAAAGACCAAGAGGGATTACTTTTTCAAATCACTTGGTGGATGAATCAGCATTCCACTGAGCAACAATGCAGCCATTTTCACTTTCAACAGGTAGCCAATGTCTCCTAAGAAAGGGGCTTCCTTGGCATGGGCTTCAGCCCCTGATTCTAACGTGGACCTTACGCTTCCGTATACATCTTCTATACTGTGTTAGAGAGAAATGAGAAGTTCTCTCCAACATACCATGAATCATCACTATGGGTTGCCAACAACTTCCTTAAGAAAACAAGAGAAGGAGAACAGCAGAAACAGCACCATGGTCACACTTTTCCTTTCCTTAACCCTAATTCATGTCCTTCAGAAATTCAAGTGCCAGAAACTACAACTTACGAATGAGGGTTATGGCTCTGAGGACCTAAAGCTGTGCTCTCTACATCTGTACATGTCCTTCAATTCCTGGTATGCGGAGAGTACTAAGGGAGTACATGTGCTAAAAATACAAATAATACTCAGCATGTCTACGCTCTCGTCGCTTTTAAATAAGAAGTTGGAACATCAGAGTATCTCTCACAAGAAACACCTGGCAACTACATTTCTGAAGCTGGCAGAAAGCCCAGAGCTCTATGTCTGAAATGGCTTTCCTTGTGGGACCCAGTGTCAGACCCAGACAGTTGCAGTACCAGGAGAAAAAAGACCCAAGGGAGCACCAAAGCAGATTCCATCTGTTAGTTCTGCTGTCCCTGCTAGGTAACAATACTGCACTGTATATTTAAATATCTGTTAAGAGGTTGTATTTCACATTGTATTGCTACTGTCATAAAATAAAATAATCATAAACCAACTTGACCCTTTAAAGTTGTACAAAAGGGAGTGCGTTAATCCCCAGGACCAGGACTCTTTTCTCTTGCATAAGATTAAAGGAACATGGTAGAAATACTACCAACCTAGTTACTTCATGCTACTTTGGATCACAATCCATGTATGTCCACAATTCATGTACAGTCACATGACTGACTAAAGTGCTGAACTGGGGATCTGAATACACCTTTATCTCCTCCCCAGAACAGAGTTATGGAATGTTAGAGCTTGAAGACAGCTTAAAGATCATCTGTCTTAGCAGCTTCATTTTACACATCTGTAAAATAAGCAGTCACAACAATGATCCTGACAGTAGCAATGGAAATATTCTCTTACAGTTCCACAGTCACTCTGAGTTTACGGTATATTTTAGCTACTGCCTCATTTATTTCAAGATCATATTCTTCTTTATAGGACTGAACTTTATATTCTTAATATAAAAGATTTTCTTATAAAATATAATTTCTGTCTCTGGCTTGGTTATTAGTAACTATTAGTAATTACTTATCCTTACTAATTTATGTTAATAAAGCCAATTAAAGATAATATACTTTTCTTTACCATTCATTCATTAGTAATAAAAGGCCAACACAGTAATGGATGGTAAAGTTTGTGCAGACTTTATGTACATATTACAGAAAACTGAATTGTGTTTGGCAACAGTTATTTTCCAGAGAACAGAAGTGATTAAACTTACAGATTCTCAACCTGAAAACACAAACTATTAAAAAGAAATCTCAAAAAGTATATGATAAACAAGCTCATTTTATAAACCAACAGCTTAGAAAAGTACTAACCTTAAAGTTTTTCTTAAGAGGGGAAAAAGAATTATCTAACAGGAGTCCTGTTTTCCTACTGTGATCTAAAGGTACATTCTCTTTAAGACAAAAGAATTAGAGTAAAAAGTTTTATACTTCCTAGAAAACTTGTTTGATCTGTGGATTTAATCCCATATGATAAAAATGTTCCAAGTATGAAATATAGAGTATAAATCCTTAGCTGTATTACAAATGCTTTGGCATGCAGATGTTTTTTCCATTTTTAATGAAAACCAGATTTATTTATAAGTTGCTTTAATTTCATTCTCGAATGGAATGGAACAAGAGTATCATATGTTCTGAATTAGGATCTTACTCACATCCCATATCAATTATGTAACTCAAATGCAAGACAACTTAATTGTGTCAATCATATCCCCCTGACAAGACCATTAAATGTTAACATAGAGCTTCCAACTTTTAACAGCCGTAGATTTAAAAATGTAAGTTTATTCTATGAAAAATACAGATGTATCATAAAAGTCCCACCTCATACTGCCTTGAGTTTTTAGACCTATATTAGAAATTCTTGCATAGAACCAGAATAGAAGTTGTCTTCTGTATTTTTACAGCAAAGACAAAAGTAAATTTCATGTAGCTATTTCTTACAGCAATCAGTTATCAAACTAAAAGCATAACATAAAAATGTAACTAGACAAAGCTGAAGATAAGTCAACATGGTTGAGAGCATCAGATATGATAAATATGGAAACTTCATGAACTAAGAAGTACTACAAAAAGACATGGGCCCTTCTGATAAGAAGTCATTAAGGGTCTCTGCTTCCTTTTCTGACCACATTTTCTGGATGATCCCCGTTCAGATCTAAAGTAACCACACTATTCTTACAAATATGTCTCAATAGAATTCTTCCACGGAAGTCAAAAAAAGGTAAAATTCCAAAAACCTTCCCTGAATTCCAGAACAAGTTCAATTATTGGGGCAAAACAAGCAAATATTCAAATCTAAAAGTCTGATAGGCTTTGTGTTGTAGTTTGAAAACTACATGAAATAACCTGACAATTAAAAGGATTTATCTCATCTTTTCAAGTTAATTTTTCTCAAAAATTCCTTGCTATACTTAGAGAAAAGAAAAACAGAATTTGCGGGTTTTTTTCCATAAAAAGAAATGTTAATATAGTCTGTAGGACTGAGAGTTTTTTATATAAAGGAGAAAGTACACTGTGATTTGGAATTGTTCTTAATAGTGTTATAAAATAGGAAATGAAACAAGTCCATATCAGTTTTTCATCATGTTGTATAATACACATGATATATAACACTCACACTGCCACGTTCTTTGTCACTGTGATTCATTGAGAAGGGACAGCAGAATTATTCATGCTCCTCTTCTGAGTAAGTACCCTTAGTACTTCCAACCTACCCCCAGCCCTACCCACCTCAGACCTTGGGGATGTCCCCCTTGCTCTCCCACAGTTCTGACTCCTCCTGTGCTCTCACACCCTGGGGGGCAGCCAAGGCTGCCTGTGTTTCAGTACCACGCTCTGAACACAGCACAGCGTGAAGAGCCGGCCTTCTGCAGGGCATTTATTCTCTAAAAAAACTTTTCTCCTTCCCATCTAATTTGTAAACATTGTAAGGAAAAGTACCACTTTATTTCACTTACCAGTAGAATTTAACAAATTTTTATTGATGAATAAATGGACACAATGTGAAATACTTTTTCTTACCCACTGTAGTCTCCAGTTAAAAATTCTGAAATAGCAGCAGGAAGCTCTGTTTTAATAATTAAAAGGTAAGATGACATAGCTGCAAGAAGAATAACAATTTGTTAGAATTCTATAATTTTCAAACATTTATCAAATAGTAAGCTGCGGGACATGGGGCTCACATTTGTAATCTCAGCTACGTGGGAAGCTGAGGCAGAAGGATAGAAAGTTTGAGGCCAGTATGAGCAACGTAAGAGCCTGTCTTAAGACAAAATCTTAAACAGGGCTGGGTCCATCAGGTGCTCCCTGGGTTCAATCCCTAGTTTGTCTGTGTGCACGGGTGTGTGCATGTGTTGGAGGAGGGGAAATTAGGACAGGTCTACACAGGGACACAGATGTCCATTAGAGCTGGGACAACATATGCAAGACCAACTCATAATGCACTGTCCCAAAGAGACATATAACAGGAATGGAGACAAGCAACTTTGTAGAGAAGAATGATGGGTACATCGTGTGTACATTTCAAGTCCAAAGCAAACAATTTAAAAGAGACAAAGGGTCTTAATTGTAGGTCCATTCACAAATGAAATTTTTCTGAAGTTTTACAACAACTCTTACATGCTATTTCCCCTGACCAAGGGAACAAGTGACATAGAAACAGAAGTTTAGCAAGTATGGCCAACAACTTTTATTTCTTCTTTCTTACTAGGAAGAAATACTTATCCCAGAATTTCATTTATTCTCTCTTACTTTCTCTGCTACCCACACCATATTATAAACACACCATTATATAGTAAAAAAGAATAATAAATTACTTTTAAGTTGCCCTCTAAAACATTAGAAAGACTCACTGGAAACCATTAACCTACTGAAGACAGAAATTCTCATTTTTATTCTATTGTTTTTATCAAAAGTATCGTTCATCTGTATTACACAATCAGAACTTGAAGCTAGCATTATTTCTCACATTTTATCTCATAGATCTAAGAAACAGCTTTCACAGTACTTTAAGAATGACCCAATATTTTGGATATAGCTATAAAACATAAATCCTATAAGCCTTCCATCATTAATATGGTGGCAGAATTTATATGCAAATACTTGAGTATAAGCTATATGAGATTTGGGGTCAGAACCTCAGTTTAACAGAACAAGAATCTCTCCTCCAAAGGTTCAGTGTATATTTTAAAAAGAGCCACAAGAAAATGTCCATGAAGAATAAAGAGCACGCTCCATGTGCACACTCATTTTATTATTTATATTTCAAGAAACGTTCCTTTTCTCCTCAGATCTATAAAAACTAAGAACACAAGTGAATGAATGCCAAATCAAAATAATAAAGATCTAGGGGAAATTGGATGAAAAGGCTCAATAGTATAAGAAGATCTATATTTCTCTATTAACAGATTGAAAAGTAGTTGAACTTCACAACTACAGTGTGATTATACATGATTGCTGCACGATGCAGCACTTGTTAACTCTGGAGAAAAATGAGCACACATTAGTTCAAGTGTAAATTTGTATGACAATGAACTATCACACACAAACATGCACATACTGTACATATAATCTCAGATTTTTAAAAATACCATGTATCTATGGCAAAGTAAAATTCAGAACAGTTAAAAATTACTTCTCTTAATGAAAACATTTTTTTCAGTTCATGACTATTTTTCCCCAAAAAGAAATATGGTTGTTGACTGAAAAGCCCACTGAGACCTTTCTGCAAAATCTTTTAGTTATAGGATATTAAACTGATTGGTTGTGAAAATGTGCTCTGTATTGTCCAAATTCTCCTTAAGATAAAATGTCATCAGTTTGGCATAGAACAGAAGGAAGGTTTACATTAACCTCCTCCACTCAGGACTTGGAGTCTTTATAATATTTAATCTGTTCCAAAGAACGATGTACATATGGTGCAATGATGAAAATCATGAGCTGAATTTTCTGAAACTGGCCTAGAACTACTTAAATATATCTTGAGAGAGGGAGGAAAAAGACCTTCCAAACAAGGAACACAGACTTCCAACACAATGCAGTTTATTATCTGTCCATCAGTCTTTCTTACTTGGATTAATCCAACACCACATGCATTTCTAAAGTTTCAGACATTCATCTCTTTCAGTAATTTTCTATTATTTCTTTTGGATCTTTCATTGTGAAAAGCTTCAATGAGTATAAGCTCATATTTCCTTCTAATATACAATCTGTCATTCTTTCCAGAATTTCTATTAGCCCCTGGCTAATCATTTGATCACTTTTATCCTCTGTTGTAGCCTTAACTCTTTGGTTTTCAAATGGGAGTCCTATTTCATTAGATTCCAGTCTGAAGAATCATGTATATTTTAAGAAATATGAACTCACCAAACATATGTTTCTCTCCCCAAAAAAAAGACCTCACCATAGAAGACATGAATATAATAAAACATGAAAAACACTGCTTCTTTGTAACAGAATGCTGGTGTATGTGTTAAGAGCTACAAAACCACAGAGCTTACCATAGGGGGAAAAAAATCCCTACTGATTAAGCAAGTAAAACAAAGAAAGGCGCCATCCTACTCACTGTTGAAATTATTTTTCTTAACCACAAATGAACTTTTCAGGCAAAGACTAGCACCCTTAGCACAACATATTATATATAATACAGAGGAGAAACAAAAAAGGTTACCAAATATACATTAGGTTAGTAAATACATCTTAATTACATTCATATAAAAATAACTCATTTAATAAAATAAATTAGAAAAGTTTTAAAGATAGAATATCAACAGGAGAGCTCATATATCCGTTGTTTTTACCAAAAGGTCCAACAGCTGTTTGCCACACCTTTTGTCTCCTGTCTTCTATTAATGGCATAAGGAAATGTTTAACCAGTGATCTTAGAGATAGGTCATAAGCAAGAATTTGTAAATGATTTTTGCTGACATCAATATATAGTATAGACTCTTAATATAAGACACACCATATTGTACTCTAAATTAATAGCTATAACAGGGCCATCCATAAGAGCCATGGTGATAGCTAAGTAGCTCTGGCCTTCTTACCACTAAAGCCAATATTAGTGCTAAAAGATAGACTTTGATGACAGTCATTCAGGCATTACAAATCATTTAGTTTCACTACATCAATTAAATAGGTATTCTTTTCTCTTTCATTTTAAACATAACTAGTTGAACTTATTTCACAGGCACTGTCCTGGGAATGAAATAATAATAATAAAAATCTATCAACCTAGCCAAAACACAGAAATTGAAAGCACTCTTTAAAAACCAGGTGGAGAAGCACTGTTGTATAACAAAGGACTGAAACGAGGTAAAGTCTGATTAGGCAACAGCAAGTAGTGAGGCATTTATCAATACTGGTTAACTTAATAATGGGATTAAACAGAGAAGTTGAAGGGAGAGAAGTCAGAGAAAAGGAAAGGAGCTCTGGAAGGACCATGAAAACAGCTGGCTCCTTTGGATTTGAGCACCTATTATATGCTTGCTGGTACTGTAAATGAGGTGGAAATTATTTCTTCATTTAATTTTCACCCAAATCGGAGAGGGAGATATTATGTATTTCACAGATGAAAAAATGGAAGCACAAAGACGTAATTTGGCTAAGCTGCTTGTGGCAGAAACAGCCATCAAGGCTTGAGAAACTTGCTCTATTATTGGTAGAGCAGGGCCAAGTGTGGCAAAAAAGTGAAGAAGCAATCGACCAAAGCAAAAAAGGAAAAAAGAAAAAGAAAGCTCCATCAAGAGTCTCTCCATAATTATTCTTTTCTTATTATCATTTAAGCAACAAACCGCTTCTGAATGCTGAGTTTAACAGTTGCATTCAAACAAAATAAAGAATCTATAACAAAAAACATCAACCAGAAGCTGTAACAACAATGTAATTTTCATTTCTCATTGGGATGTATTTTCAGTGTTCCCTTTCCACTTTGAAGCTGAACTGATGAAGTGATTAGTTCAAAATTCACAATTTCATGATAAAACTTTATTTTGTCTACTACCATGATTTGGCTGCATTTACAGCAATGATTACAGTTCTGAAAAGAAACTTTGCTATTTTCACATATTTGAGACTGAACACTATACTGAAATCTAAAAATTAAACAAAAATCAACCCCTCTGTTCTAAAATCTGCACTCTTAGGGACTACTTTTTCCCCCAGCACTTTGAAGATGCCTCTCAATTTGCCATTAGTTAAGTGTACATCCTTAAAAGAGAAGAGTTAATTGAGTTTGGGCTGAAGAAATCATTAGTTCACAAAAATAATTATCCATTTTGTTAGACGTTTAAAAAACATGTATGAAGATAGATAGGATTACTTGCAGCTATTTTAAAAACAGAATTAGGTTTTCAGCACTTGGGGTAAGTTCAGCAACTGCTTAAAGGATTAGCCAGTCAGCCCTAAACAAACAGATGTATGATGGGAGGAAATCATAAGTTTGCCTTTCCATTTATAAGATTCAATTTTACTTCAATCTTGTTTTTAGTCATGGATAATAACTGGTTTATTCAACATGTCTTATTAACGTTGTGTTTCCACCAAATGTCTAAATGCCACTGAAATTCTATCCCCAATTAAATAGTAGATGGTCTTCTTTTTAAAAAGGCTCTTTTTTTATTTCTTTTTGGTACTGGGGCTCAAACTCAGGACCTTGCACTTGCGAGGCAGGTGGCGGCACCACTGAGCTAAATCCTTGGCCTTAAAGAAGCCTCTTTAAAAAAAAAATTCTGACAAAAATATCATTTCATTTCACTAATTTGTGCACAAATGGAAATCGAACTATATAGTGGAAAATGTTTCCCCACAACACTAAAAAATATCTTTACCAATTTATTAAGACTTTAAATTTGAATACAAAGTGACGAGAGTATCTGTTCCAAAAATGTTATAATTAAACCTAAATAGAAATCATTACTGAGATATGCATTATTTTGGAAACCTGTTTAAAGTGATATGTTACTAGATTTTGTCCAAGCAAGTACTTGTGAAAAAGGATTCTCTACAGGTTCCCTGTACTTCTATTCTAAGGCAGTGCTTTCCAGAAAGAAGGTCCGGACAAAGACAGCTCAGGCTCAAAAAGCTGCCCTTCAGTTCAACTGA